AGATTCTCCCTCCACCAGTTGTCTCTACCTCTACTGCCAATCCTCCTACCTCTGACGACTCTGATCTTGCTAGCCATAAGTATCCCCTTCGCATTCGTAAATAGGTAGTCAAACTTAGTTTTGCTAAAATATGTTTTTCTCTATCATACTATTCCTTTTTGTCTGTTATTCACTCTTTTTTAGAATCCCAGTCTTACAAGAAGGCTTATCAGGATCCTAATTGGATTCGAGCTATGGAGGATGAGTTATCTGCCTTGCAGAAGACTATTACTTGGGAGCTAGTTCCTTTACCCATTGGCAAGAATCTGGTTGGTTGTAAATGGGTCTATAAAGTAAAGACTCATTCTAATGGTTCTCTCGAGCGCTACAAAGCTCACCTGGTTGCGAAAAGTTTTTCACAGGAGTATGGTATTGACTATGAAGAGACATTTGCCCCTGTTGCCAAGATAACTACTGTCTGTACTTTGATCTTTGTCGTTGTTGTTCGTCATTGACCTCTTTATCAGATAGATGTTAAGAATACTTTTCTTAATGGCCATCTCACTGAGGAGGTATATATGTGTCCTCCCCCCAGCCTTCATCATTCGTCTAGACAAGTTTGTCATCTTCGGCGTGCTCTATATGGTTTGAAGCAATCTCCTTGTGCTTGATATGATCGTTTTCAAATAGCTGTTATTCAGCTTGGATTTCATCCTCGTGCTCATGACTCTGCTTTGTTTCTCCTTCTCATATTTGCTAATTTTGTTGCCTTATTATTGTATGTGGATGATATGATCATAATTGGCTCGGACTCTTTTATTATCTCTACGGTCAAGCAGCATCTCTTTCGTACCTTTGAAATGAAGGATTTGGGACCATTGCGGTATTTTCTTGGTATTGAGGTAACTTCTTCTCCTAAGGGTACTTTCTGTCTCAGGCCAAGTATGCCAATGAGGTTATTCATCGTGTCAGTCTTACTGACACTAAGATTTCTGATACCCCCATTGAGCTTAACGTGAAACTCAATGCTGGAAATTTGTGTTAATTGGATGATCCTACATTATATCGAAAACTTGTGGGTTGCTCAATCTATCTAACGGTTACTCGTCCTAACCTTACCTATGTTGTTAATGTGATTAGCCAGTTTGTTTCTGCTCCTCGCTCTACACATTAGGCTGCATTGGTTCAGCTTAACGTGAAACTCAACACTACTGATAGTATTCTTTTGGATGATCCTACATTATATCGAAAACTTGTGGGTTGCTCAATCTATCTAACGGTTACTCGTCCTAACCTTACCTATGTTGTTAATGTGATTAGCCAGTTTGTTTCTGCTCCTCGCTCTACACATTAGGCTGCATTGGTTCAGATTCTTTGCTATCTTCGAGATACTATATTTCAGGGTTTACTATTGTCCTTTACCTCCTCTCTAGACTTGGTGGCCTATGCTGATTCTGATTGGGCTGGTGATGTTACTAATTGCAAGTCCACATCTGGTTTTTGTATGTTTCTTGGCGATTCTTTGATCTCTTGGAAAAGTAATAAACAAACTATTGTTGCTCGCTCTACTGCTGAAGCTAAGTACCATGCTATGGCTCATGCTACTACTAAGATTGTTTAGCTTCGTTATGTCTTATCTGATTTGGGTGTCTCTTAGTCTTCTCCGACCTCCTTCTACTGTGACAACTGCAGTGCTACTCAGATTGCCCATAACACTGTCTTCCATGAGCAAACGAAGTACATTGAGATTGATTGTCACTTTATTTGTCAACATCTGCAGTCTGACTCTATCTCGCTTCCTTTCATCTCTTCGACTGTATAACATGCTGAATTCTTTACCAAGACTCACACCACTGCTTGGTTTCAATTTCTTCTTGGCAAACTCACTGTTTTCTACTAAAACACCTTGAGTTTGAGCAGGGGTGTGAGAATATTAGGTTTTACGTATATATGGTAGTATATATATTCTGTATATATTAGAGATTGAGCATATATTTTTGTTTTCTTTTTCAGTTCTAGGGTTTGGATTATTATATATACCAATGTATTCTTGTATCAAAAAGAAAATTGAATATACAAATTATTATTCAGAAACCTTACAATATTATCCCTGGTAGTGAGCATCTGGTTTGTCAGTTACGAAAGGCTTTATATAGTCTCAAGCAATCTCCTCATGCTTGGTTTGATCGCTTCAGTACAGTTGTGCTTGCATATGGGTTTCTCATCGTTCCACTTCTGATCACTCTGTTTTTGTTCGCAACTCATCTACTAAGGTTATTGTTCTCATTGTCTATGTGGACGACATCATCATCTCTGGCAGTGACTCCATCGGTATTGCTAATTTGAAACTTTATTTGGGTACACACTTTAAGACTTGGGTCATCTGCGATATCTTCTTGGAATTGAGATTGCTCGCTCCTCTCGAGATTTATTTCTTTCGCAATGTAAGTATGTTCTTGATCTTCTTTTTGAGACTAGTCTCCTTGGCACTCGTCCTAATGATACTCCTATTAACTCCTCGATCAAACTTATGGTGAGAATGGAGAGTTGTTTCCTGATATTGGTCGGTATTGTCGTTTAGTTGGGAAGTTGATTTATCTTACTGTCACTCGTCGGAATATTACTTACGCATTTTATGCATGCTCCCCGTCAATCCCATTTTGATGTTGTGTGTTGTATCTGGCATTATCTTAAACGTGCTCCCGGTCAAGGTTTATTTTATCTTCCTCCTTCCTTGACTGTCATTGGCTTTAGTGATGCTGATTGGGCCGATAGTCGGACTAACCGTCGTTTTACATTTGGATATTGCCCCTTTGTTGGAGGGTAATCTTGTTACCTAGTGTAGCAAGAAACAACCCGCTGTTGCTCATTTGAGTGCTACGGCCGAGCACCGTGCCATGGCTCATACCGCCTCCGCGATGTTATTCTTCACTTCTGCAGGATTTTGGTATTCATGTTCCTACTCCTATGAACATGTACTATGATAATCAAGTTACTATTTTCATTACTAATAACCCCGTGTTTCATGAATGTACGAAGCATATTGAAGTTGATTATCATTTTATTTGGGATTTGTTGCGTAAACAACTTGTGACACCACATGTTTGCTTTGATGATCAATTGGGTGATATACTCACCAAGCCCTTGCTCATTCTTCATTTCAGTGTCTCTGCCAAGCTGAGCATGTTCAATCTCTATGCTCCAGCTTGAAAGGGAGTGTTAGAATGTCTATGTCTATGTTATTTATTTGTGTTAAGGGTATTACAGTCATTTGGTTATATTGTATTTAGTATAAATATTTTTGATGGTTTAGGTTTATTATATGAGCCTAACACATGCGTTCAATAAAGTTCTGCATCTTCACTTTGTTCTTCCCTCTTTCTCTTTAACCCTAATCTAAGTTTTTCATACTTTTGCACTTCAACTATATGTTTATGTAAATATATATGACCTAAAATACAACCATATTGAGAGTCGTATGATAATATAACGATTATGCCAACTTCGGCTTTTGTTTAAATTTGATATATATATATCTTTATTAGATTTTTTTCAAACATCATACATAATTATTTATATATGTATCTTAAAATTTAAATAAATGTATCTTAATTCTTATATTATTATTAAGTCTTATTTTAATATATTTATAAGATAATTATGATGTCACGGTTTGATTCTGATTCGACCCAATGGTTGAACTGGTGACCTCTCCACAAAGATCCCTTTTTCGGTTTGCTAACCGGTCCGGTTTTTAAAACATTGTACCAAAGAGAGAAGAAAGAATGCAAATGTGAACCAAATGCAAAAGGAGAGACTTGAGAATCCAAGACCTTTCCCAACCTAAGCTCTAATATCCTGTTAACTTACCAATTGTCTCAAAAGCTTAAGGTTACGTTTGGTAGAGTTTTAGAATTATGATTTGATAATAGAGCTGCATTTTGAGTTTGTGAGTTTTAGAATTATGATTTGAGTGTGGAAAATTTGTTTGGTTATGAGTTTTGAAAAGAGTTTTGAATTAAGTTTGAATTGGGTGATGTGACGTATGATATTTGTTTCAAAAATTTACAACTCATAACCAAACACACATTCCAAAATTCTATTCAAAGCTCATAAAAAATTCAAAAAATATCTCCAAAATATATTTTTATTTAAAATATAAAAATAACAGGTGCCACAAAAAAAAAAAAAAAAAAAAAAAAAAAAAAAAATTTGAACACTGTTCAGGTCAACCGACCAGACATCCGAGGGGATGTCCAGGAGGATGACTGGGTAGATTCAAAATTCAAAAATCCTCTACTTTTTAGCATGGAGAACACGAAAGAGAGAGAGTAGCCAAACAAGAAAGAGAAATATGTTTTGAAATGTGTGGTGAAATCACAATTCCAAAACTCAATCCAAACAATGCATGCAAATGTAGGGGTGGAATTAAGTTTTCAAAGCTGCACCAAACACAACCTAAGTTTTTACGAAATGGGCCCAACAATGTATATCATGTGATTCAAAAAGCATCCAAGACCCAAAAAGTTCATGTAACACAAAATATTGGTTAAGAGTTGAATTGGATTAGTCATATTGTAGAAAATGATTAGAAAAAAGAATGGCAAGCAAAGGGTGTACAATTCAAGATTAATGTGTTACAAGAATGAAGAGCAAAGACAAAATGATGCTAGTTGAGTACGCTACAATGGGGATGGCAAGCTATTATCTAACAATGGCCGAGTCCTTGACATTGCCAACAAACAAAGACTAGTGCATCCAATCTGAGACAATTGTGACAAGACTTTGTCTAGCTTGAGTTCAATTAGTTTATCAATCAACATATCTCAACAAAACTGTTAGTCAAAACATTGGGTTCGTATGATGTGTTTCTTTGGAAGCAAGAAAAACAAAATATAGCATAATATAGCATTAGTCTTAAATCTTCAGTACGATATTTGGTCACATTGCCATTCACTTTAAGTTGTTATCAAGCATCAAAACATTTTTTTTCCAAATAGTGTGCTAAAATTATGACTTACTTGTCTGAAACTGCGCAGGCACCGAATGAAATATCCGTCCTATTATGACCGACAAGACTGTCATAAGTGAAAGAGCACCCATGGACCCCAGAAGAACCTAGTCAAGGATCCAGCAGCTTGTAAGGAAAACTAATTTTCCAAGTAAAACATTTAAATTGCCTTCTTATGCGTCCGTTATTAAAAAACATATGCTATACAAACATCATTACTTTAAATTCCAGTATCAAAAGATTAGTGCAAACAATATAATGTTCAGAAATGCAGGAAGCCCCTCAATAAAAGTAGTGTATACAAAGAATTGGAACATTTTTGTAAATGAAGAATGGACAAGAGTCATCCCAGACATGACTTCAAGTGTATGCTAGATAAGCAGCTGATCAAAATAAAGTGTATGCTTGATAGGCAGGTAGATATATCTCTACGGGGAATCTTTAGAATTATTGTAGTTACAGAATGACAATTATTTTTTCTAAGTTTTGACCCTGAGAAGTTGGGGGCAGATTTCATTTTAGCCCATTGTGGTTTGGCTCATGTCCGGATGACCCCTTGTCATTTGGAAATAAGCAATAGCCCCTTATGGTTATGGTCTGTGAACCAAAGTGCACAGTTAACTTCCAACTTCCAACCGATGTCCCTATCCATTTGCTTCCTAGCTTGAATCCAATAGCTTTGCTTTAGCGTAGAAGGGGCTTGCTTTCCTTCCTCTAAAGGACGGGGCTATCCAGAGAGTTACTTACTCACAAGCATTAGAGTTATAAGAAGAGCTCAGCTAGTCTACTAACTTCTTTTATTAGCATAGAGTAAAGAACTATATAAGACTATCCCCTAATAGTGTACCCTATTCTTTTCTTGTGAGAAAGCATTTTGAAATCGGTACACATACGAATAACGGTTTAGAATGAATTGATGTTCTCGCTTTAATCAAGAAACTGTAACGGATCTCTACTGAAAGATCTGTTTGATAGTAAACCTAGAGTTTCGTCGATCTATTGGCACTTATCTGTAGAAAGAAAGCTTGTTAACAAGAGAAGATAAGGAGGGGGCTTTAACAAGTCTCGATAAGACAACTTAATCAAGCCTTCTGTTCAATATTTGATATCTGTAGTTTAGCGAGTTTTGTTGTCAACTGTATCAGTAGTGAATCAACTGAAGTATTGAAGTTGTATTATTGCCCTTGTTAGCAGCGAATCTGGAATCGGAACTATTTAAAGGAATTAAAGATGCAATCGGTCAACGGTCGTGTCTCGTACTGTATCGGTCTCAACTGTCTCAATCTTTTCTCTTCTGTCTTCCATAGGGAGAGACTAAGTTTTGACCCTGAGAAGTTGGGGCAAATTTCATTTTAGCCCATTGTGGTTTGGCTCATGTCCGGATGACCCCTTGTCATTTGGAAATAAGCAATAGCCCCCTTATGGTCTGTGAACCAAAGTGCACAGTTAACTTCCAACTTCCATTAATGATACCCGTAAAATTACCCAGATACCCTCATCTTCTTCCTCTAAACTCATATATATACGTGTTATATGTATATCACCTGTAAGTTTACGGGTCCACCTCCCTCCCTTGTCACCATCACTTCCCCACCGCCACCCCCAAAGTGCCCTATGCTCACCCCATTCCAACTTCCCCCCATCAGCTCACTGCCCCACCTCCACACACTTCCTCACCCTTTACCAAAGTCACTTGCAGATTTGGTACCTTAGCCAAGATAAGTAATTTTATGTGTAAATAATCAATCTAGGAAGCATAGATAACTATTGGTGGCTTCCACAGGTGGGGGAGTGGGCAGTGCACTGTACAGGGGAGGGGAGTGTAGTTTTGGTTTGTGGGTTCTAGTTTGTGTTAAGGGGGTGAGCTGCTGCCATGGTTGCTCTGGTGTCTGTGCTGGGGTTTAGGGGGCGGAGGATGGTGACTGATGATTGGCAGGTAGGTGGCCATGTGTGTGGTGTTGGCAAAGCTAGAGGAAGAAAAGGAAGGCAAGATGAAATAAAATTGCATTTTTTTAAAAAAAATTCGAAAATGTATTAGGGGTAATTTAGTCTTAAAAATGACTTACTCTCTCTCTATATAGGCACCAGGTTTCATCTTTTATTGTTTGGGTTTCCATTCTAGGGAAAATTATCTGCTAACTTTCACATATATACATCGACACATACATACACACACACACAAAGTAAACAAAAGAAACTCTCAATTGAAGGAGTGAGTTCCAAAGATAATTTAACAGTCCACAATAAACGTTCACAACGCGCGTGCGCACACACACACACAGAGTAATATATAAAGAAAATTGTCAGGATATGATACATACCAGCCCTTTCTCATACTGCATGGCCAAGAGTGCAGCAATGAAAAATGTCTGTTAATAAAGAGGAAGCATTACTTATACTATCATTTCAATAAGAAAATACTAAAAGATGCTTTCTAAAAATTGAAAGTGGGCAAAATTACATCTGATCATTCAAATTGAGCAGTAGGATTGGTGTTATGAACAGAACAATAAAAAGAATAATTGAGTACAAAAGATTTGTGTGTGTGTGTGTGTTGTGAGTATAATATAGGCATTCTACACAAGCCTTCTCCGTATTTGGGGATACCAACGTTCATATCATCTTCTATAAAATGAAAAAGGAGTAGAGGCTAATATTAGTTTAAAAATTTAGAGAACATGGTCATAAGGAATAAGTAGGTACAAAAATAATAGTCTTCCTAAGCAGTTGTCCTTCTCTAGCCTCCGAACTAGATATCTAGAAAGATTAGATCCTAAACCTGACTGGAACAAATGATAAAGCGAAAAAGAGTAAACCTACGTCCACAGATACTACTAGTGATGGTCTAGTGTATCCTTGTTCAATATTCATGTTGTAGTTGTTAAGAGGCTTGAAAAGTTGCAAGGAGAGTTATTGTTGGGTGATATAGGGGAGGATTTTAAATATCACTTAGTGGATTAGGATAGTTTGTACCCCGTTGAGGAGGAGGGGTTTGGGGATTCAGAGACTTGTCATTTTCAATCAAGCTCCTTTGGAAAAGTGGCTTTGGAGCTATGTTTGCAAGAGAGACAGATTTTGGAAAAGTGTGGTCAAGACAAAATATGGATTTATGTGGGGAGATCGGTTCACTGTGGAGGTTTCCATGTCTCATATTAAGGGGCTATGGAAAGGATCTGAGCAAGGTGGAATGATTTTTCGAAATTGCGGTTTTGGAGGCAATTGTGGTGTGGAGAGGCATGGAGGTTTCTATCAGTGATTACCTTAGAAAAGAAGGTAATCAAGTCGTTTGAAATCTTTCCTTAGAAAAGAAGGTAATCAAGTCGTTTGAAATCTTTCTTTCAAAAGGGAGCTGAATGATCGGGTTGTGGGGGAATTGGTGGATCTTCTCGGGCACTTGTATCTATTCCCTACATTGGTGGGGAATGTACGGTAGACAAGATGGAAATATGAAAGTTTTGAGGTGAAGGCTTTTCATGAAGCCTTGAGAGGTCAAGCATGAATCTTCCATTCCTAGGAAAGGGGTTTGGGGAACTAAGGCTCCAACAAAGGTGCCTTTTTTTGTGGTTGGTCGTGCATGGTAAGATTTTCACTATTGATAACTTGATTATGAGGGAAGTTCATATCAATTGGTGCTACATTTGCAAGAAGGGTGGTGATTCAATCAACCATCTTTTTTATTATGGGGTTACGGTCTTTGATTCAGCTCTAAAGGGAGCTTGACTTTGAGAATGGCTTATATTTAAAAAATAATAAAAATAAAAAAAGACAATAAACATTTACTCTTTTTTCTGTTATAGTTACCTTGTCACCAATTTCAGAAACAAATATCAATGAGAATGCAGCAGTGAAGCCTGACTTCGCAATTGCTGCTAAAATTGCTGAAGGTCCTCCTTTCACAAAGGCAATCAATGAATATACAAAAGCACATCCAAATAGCACAGAGGCCAGAGAGAGAAGGTATGGAATTCGATTAGGAGGTTTCCCACTGCCAAATCATAAAAGATGCATAGATCAGTTTGCACTCAATCAAGGATGCTCACTACAGTCAATTGGCTATTTATAGTGCAATAATTTACATGACATAATTATTCAACAAGAAAAACACAAGTGAAAAACATGATCCTAACTGTTAAGGATCCTGAAAATCAAGCACGAAAAAAAAAAAAAAAAAAGGCAAGTTTCATACTCTGCCATCAACTAGAACTTTAACCTCATCCAAAGTAACTCAGAACAATAACTTTGACTGAACTAATTGTTTTAGGTTCTTGATAGGACAAATATTATCTGTTGCTCTATGGATGATTTATGCTCAAGTAATTTACAGGCATAAAAGGGCCCAAGTATATATTGTTTATATGTTTAGTATTGCCATGTTTCTGTAATGTTTCTTAGTTTCTATGAGAGGAGAATAAAGACATACTGGGAGAGTCACTTTTAACTATAAAACAAGATAATTGCAGTTCCCTACTTCCTTGTCATGCAAGCAGATGATACATTGTAGCTTCCCATAATTTGTATGATACATAATTCATATAACTTGCCTACCACCAATACAAGTCTGAGTTCCACACATCGCACAATCTCATTCACAATCACAACTCAAAAAAATAATAACATTCACAATAATAGCACATCACAAGTTCATTTGACATGATACAACTTACATTTTAGATGAACTGTCACTTTGTGCATCATTGACAAAGATTTTTTGGTTGTCATTTTCCTCCCTCCCTCCATAGCCCGCAGATCCAACACCGACATTAGATGCCTGTGCTCTGATAGTGTCGCACACAGATTTCAACCTTGATAGTTCTCTACATCTTACTAAACATAAGTCAGCAAATAAGTATTTGTTGCTCTGTGAGTCATATTTAATGATAATGTACAACTGCAAATGCCAAGAGGATGAAATTAAATGTCTATGAAAGGTAAATATCTCAATGCACAGGTGTCACAAAATTAGATCAAGCTCTTTTCTAGTAACAGCTTCAGTACATGAAGGAATCATCACCCAACTGAATATATCAACACCTCATCAGAGTTAGCTTGGTCCTGCTGTATGAATTGATAGTTTTGAACTATTAATAAAACGAACATACGGGAAATTTAATACAATTAAAGCTCCTTCTCATACAAGGCAATTTTAGAAATGAATTGGATGCTTCCTGTGCACCTGGATATTAGTGTCAATCTTGATATGAGTAAAGACATCCTACTAAACCATATCCCCCAGCATCACAGTTCCTTAATTCTCACACCCTACTTGCAAAAGAATCCAAAATCAACACAGATACTGTTCACAGCACCTAGAACAGTCTGCGAATAGTCCTATAAATCCTTTCTCTTCAATCCCAAACCTTTATCTTTTTATTACTCCATACAAACCCTTAAACCCTTCATTTTACCTCCCATCCAGCATTTGAAAAACAATGAAAATTTGCTCCAATACCCTACTTTTCCGCTGCTATACATTTGTTTTGGGCTCATTACTACTAGAAGAGAGATCACCAAACTTGTCCTATATCACCTTTATAAACCCCAAGGGGTTGGCCAGTGGCAAAGACTTGAGGACTAAATCCAAGGTCCCAAGTTCGAGTCACTCCAAGGGACCACTGAAGGTTTGCTCGGTCATTAACTTAGTCGAGGTGCAAGCACGCTGGCCTAGACACACAGTCATTCAAAAAAATCACCCTCATAATTTTAGTAGTTCCTCCAAACTCATCTCTACCCAGATAATTCAAATACAACAAAAACTCATCCACATTGAGCAATCAAAAACAGTGACCAAAAACTCTGAAACACCAAGAACAAGTTAATGTAGTCTACTACTGTTTAACAAGTAAACTAACTCAAACTAAACTGCTGCTCAATACTTGAGTAGCTCAAACGCTCAAATCATTTAATTTTTGTTAATTTCCTTGAAGACCCACCTAAAGGGGATTAAATTCACAACCAAGAGAGTTAAAAATTTTCATGGGTCATTGAATTCCCATTCTTTCCCATCTTTTTTGATATCTGGGAAAGTCAAAGAAGAATAACAGATTGGAGAATATTGGAGAACTTACATGAAGGGGAAGTTGAGATGGCTCTTCTGGAAATTATGGTATAGCAAGGTACCAAAGCCAACAATGGAAGCTTTCCTCTTGAAATTGTGGAAGGTGTTTGAAGAACCATCCCTTTCATTTTTCTTCTACTTAAAAAATTCCTTAAAAATTCATATCCTACATTCAATTTCAAAACCCTAAACCTAATTTGGAGCAGAACCAAAACCCTGCTGATTCAGAATTTGAGAGTTGAGTGAGGAGTGAGAAGTGAGAACCAAACTGGGTTTGCCCCCTCTCTCTCTCTCTCTCTCTCTCTCTATCTTGGTTGCTAAATTTTCTCTGCAGGCGCTGGGGGACTCTTGAAGCGACCACGTGTCTATGCGGCAGAAGAGGCAGATAACTTGCTTTTGCCAAGGCAGTTAGTTATAGTTTTATTACAAAATAAAAACAGAAAACAGAAAATTAAATAAAATAATTACAAAGTGGTGTTTGGTAATATTTATAGTTTACTATTTTAACTTACAAAAAATGCTAAATAGGTTTATGTTTAGGGTTATTTATATAGAGATCTTTTAAATTATTGAAAAGTATTATTTTAATATATATTCTTAAATTAAGAATACAAACGAATCCCTTAAACTATTGAGAAGTATCAGTTTGCTCTTAAATTATAAAAACATACAAATAAACCTTCATAAACTATAGTTGTGTTTCATTTTGACTCATTTCGTTAAGGAGTTTAATTTGTACCTTTTTATAATTTAGGAAATTCATTTTTACGTTTTTCTAGTTTGGGAAATAAAGTAATACGTCTCAATAGTTTATGGTAATCATTTGTATACTTTTATAATGTAGGGGGTCAAAGTAATACTTCTCAATAATTTAAAGAGTTATTGTATAAATAATCCTAATGTTTATTTTTCCGTAAAAGAAAATAAAAAACATGTTGGTATATATGTTTAAAAATTTTATTTTTGAAAACAAGTAAAAGAAGTGACTGGTAGAAGATGATCGTCGATCGTTGAAAATTATGTTCAAAGGTAGTTGTTGTGACAGAAGTGGTTGGCAGTTGCAAGGGTGAACCAAAGTAGTTGACACAGATGGGAGGTAGTTGGTAGTGGTCGGAAGTGGTTGCCAACCTTGAGGAGTGGTGGCTGATAGTGACTGCTGACGGTTAGAGATGTTGGCTAAAGGTGATTTTTAATAAGAAATAGTGACCGAGGTTGATTACCATCTGTGGGAGGTGGCTGATAGTCAAGAGAAGTAATGGCTCTGGGTGGTTGGTGAAGCGGTTGCTCTAGCAATGGTGAACAGTACTAATGATGACTAATGGGTGGTGGTTGAAATTGGCAGGAGAAAGAAAAAGAAATGATAAAAAAAAAAAATTAAATAAGTAAAATTAATGTTTTTGTGTTTGCAAAAATAATAAATAAGCAAAAATTAAATAAGTAAAATTAATTTTTTTGTGTTTACAATTTTTTGCAAATTTAAATGATACCAAACAGACTTTAACTCGTTGTTTTTACATTTTTGTGTCCTTACCAGCTAATTGGTTTGATTTTCATAAACTACCTTGAAACTAATTTGACAAAATAAACATTGAAAATGATATTTTTTTATTTTTTTAAAATCATTTCTGCCCCTAGAAAAATAAAATTTTATAAAAATTAAGTATTTTTTTAAAATCATTTCTGCCCCTAGAAAAATAAAATTTTATAAAAATTAAGTATCTTTTATTTTTGATTTTATTAATCAAATAACTTTTGAAACTCTGTCTAGTTTGGTTTTAAAATATTTATTAAAAAAATCAAAAAAATAATTTGTAGGCAAAACTCATGTTAGCAACTAATGAGACCATTTTCAAATTTTGACACTACTATGTTTATTGTTAAAAGTTCGTGAGTGAATTGATTATTTTAATTAATTTTTTACGAAAAAAACGTATAAAAAAATAAGGGAGTAATGTGATTGAGAGTATTTTAACTTTTTAATTATTTTAACCAAAAAAATAAGCTACCTAAAAAGCCCATGTAAATAAGTTTGACATAACTTTTGATAGATTTTAAACTTTTGATTTCATTATCAACGGCTAGATGTATTTTATAGTGATTAATAGTTGTTGAAACATGGTTGTACCCAAAAGGGGAAGGGAAAAAATCCTCGGTCACCGACCCCCCCTTGATCTCAACATGATAAGGTGTTGGCATTCATGTGTTTTGTTTGCATGCATTTACATTAAGGTCAAGTTTGGGAAGACTAAATAAGTGCACTCTTTGACTTTTTATGAAATATGGGTTGGGTTTAGGTTGGGTTTGAAGTGATGTGTTAGAGAGGTGATGTGACTTAAATAAGATGATGTGACTTAAATAGGATAGTGACTTTTTGACTTTTTATCTTTTTTCAATCTTCCCAAACTAAGCCTTAGCCTTGGGCTAAAAATTTAACAGTTGGCCTGCATGACCCTAACTTTGGAAGGACTTTTTTTGGGCAGGTGTTGGTTAGAGTTTGTAAAACGGGCCCAACTTTTCAAAAGTGCATTCAAGGAAGTAGGAATGTTGGCTCTCGGGTGATTTCATTTGCATCTAAAAAATTAATTATTGGGGAAATTACCCACAGGTCCCATGTGAAACATGTAGACACTATTTAATCTCATAACTTTTTGGGTACACTCAAAAGTTCTTTCCTCCATCTCTCTGGTTTTTTCCTCCCTTTTTACGTTTTCTTCTTTCTCTTTTTTTCTACATTTTTCTCTCATCGTCTTCGTCATAGACGATGGTGCAAGTGTTCATGTCTTTCTCCATTGATCGGGGTTCACTGATAACCGCCAACCATCGAAATCAACTCGTGATTTCACTCTCACCGACGGCGAAGATATATATTTCTGACGAAGAAGATGAGTGGATCTACTTAGATCTGATGTAGATTTACGCAGATCTACATCAGATCTGAGTAGATCTACATCAGATTTGGCTAGATCTAAACAAAAAATAGTTGTCGGAGTACAATCCTCTCTCTACATCCGCCTTTCTCCTTCGATCTCTTTTTTTTTCTCTGCTATACACTTCTGTTTTTCTGTTCTAATGGAGAAAATTTTCGAATTCTGAACAAGTAGTTTTCGAGTTTTAGTTACAGACGGTGAAAACTGTAAAATTTTGCAGTTTCAAAATTTTTTTTTGGTGCTGGAATGAATCATGGTTTAAAACTGTAAAATTTTGCAGTTTTATAACATTTTTTAGAACTGTAAAATTTTACAGTTTCATAACATGTTTTAAACATTCCGACGAGTCTCCGGCGATGTTGAACATTCCGACGAGTCTCCGGCGACCGTTTGACGAAAGTCCGACGGTAGTAAGATGTGAACAGTGTCTGTAAATTAAAAAGAAAAAAAAAGATTTTTTGGTAACAATTAAAAATGTATTGGACTAATTGGTGCAAGTATTTTGTTTTGGGATTAGCTGGGTTTTGAACTTAGTACATGGGACTTATCAGTAAGTTCCCCAAAATTATTAGTATGTTTAATTTTTTAAGTACCCTCTATTAAATTATTTAAAATTTTAATTTATTCTCAATACACTCTATATTTTTTTCCGAATTACCCTTCAAGCTAAAATTATAATTTGTGATATATTCAAATAATAAACAAATCAACCCTCTGATTTCTCTCTCCGATCTAATCAATCAGGATCTGTTCAACACTTCTTTTTCGTCTATCTATAATCTCTATATCCACACAAACCCAATTCAATCACCAAATCATTTCAATCAAGGGAAGACATACAAAACCCATTTATCTTTATTGTTCTTCTTTTTACTTCAAACCCTAATCTTCACTTTTTTACTTGTATCTTTCTTCGGTCTAGCCCTTTTTGCAAAGTTTAGGCTCAAATGATATTACTATATATGAAGATTGGCTTCTTTGTTTTTTTTTTTTTTTTGGCCTACTATAGACACCCCATTTTTTACCGCTAATAGGCTATAGGAATTTATGTGCAAACGTACTTCCTCTTTGATAGATTACTTCAAAAAAAATATCTTTAATTATTATTTTCATTCGTTGTTTGATTTTGTTCAAACTTTCTTCTATTTATAAGTAACAACACAATAAGAAATAATGATATTGTTAATAATTGTGAATTTTTGTGGGGTGGATTGAAATTTTGGAGTGAAGAAGAAGATGAAAAAAAGTAATTCAAAATTGGGAAATAAGATGAAAATAGTTGAATATAAAGAGTACATAGTTTGGGTACACTATGAGAAAAAAATAATATTTTATTTTTAGAGTTTAATGTGTATTATCCTTATTAGTAAATTTACATTAAGGTATAATAGGAACTAAATTTTCAAAATTTTAATTGGGCGTACTAAGATATTATTTGGGTGCAAATAAAATCACCCCTGGCTTTTAAAATCAACTTCTCAAAAAGTCATCTTATTGCTTCTTCTTCTTCTTTTTCGGTTAATAAGTGAATTTTTTTAAAATATTTACATTTTCTCACAAAATGCCCATTTTATCCTCATTCTTTTTTAGATAGACAAAGGCTAGAAAGAAAAACATTACATCGAAATACCGACTGCCTCAAAAGGCACAAGCTGCTCTAGAGAAGAGGAAACTTCCTCCATCCAGATCATAGCATCTTCAAACTCATTTGCCATACGGGCAAGACAGTGGGCGACTGAATTACCTTGGCAACGAACATGTTGCACCACTTTATTTGTGATAAACAAGTCTAGTCATTATTAAATTGAAGTTGTCAATGGATAAACAACAAAAAATAGCAACCCAAATGAGCAAAAAGAAAGACGTTATGGAGGATTCTTAGGTTTGCCTTGCATACCATACGCAAGGCATACATGGTTCCTTATACGTTTTATTTGTTTAGGTTATACAAGTTTGTATCAATAGTTATACAAATTTGTGTTAGAAGTTATACATTGTTGACCTGCTAAGCAGATCAACTTACTAGAAAATACTATTAAACTAATAGATTATATTATATACACGTAAGTATTTTCACAAAACTGCGTAAGGTAACACAAATCTGCGTAAGTTTGTTCATAAAAATGTAGAACAACATAAAAATGTGTAAATTTTCACAAACCACGTAAGTGGTTTCACAAAAATACGTAACTGAACACAAATCCGCGTAAGATAGTTTTTAAAAATTTAGAACAACACAAAATGCGTAAGTTTTTACAAATCACGTAAGTGATTTTGACAAAAATGCGTAAGTGAATACAAATACGAGTAAGTTAGTTTCCAAAAGTTTAGACAAACACAAAATGCGTAAATTTCACAAATCACTTACGTGATTTCACAAAAATGCGTAAGTGAACTCAAATCCGCGTAAGTTAGTTTTCAAAAATTTAGAGCAATACAAAATGTGCAA